TCAGTTCAATCGGCCAAGCGGAACTTGACTTTAAGTTTGAATATATTTTTTTCAAAAAGGCGGCCGTGGCGGCCATATTGAATTTCGGATCGACCCGAAAATAACAACACTTTGTCAGGACCATAAGTCGATCATTCCTACGAAGTCTCAGTTCAATCGGCCTAGCAGAACTTGACTTTTAAGTTTGAAATAGTTTTTCAAAATGGCGGCCGTGTCAGCCATATTGGATTTCTGATCGACCCGAAAAGTAACAACACTTTGTCAGGACTATGAGTCGATCATTCCTACCAAGTTTCAGTTTAATCGGCCCATTAGAACTTGACTTCAAGTTTGTTATAGTTTATCAAAATGGCGGCTGTGGCGGCCATATTGGATTTTTAATTGACCTGTAAAATAACAACACTTTGTCACGACTATGAGTCGACCAGGTGAGCTAAAAAGAAAAAACCTACACACTAAAATTCTTCCCATTGACTGTTCCTTATCAACAATACAGACAGGATCATTTTGTAAACCTTCGTACTTTAAACACTGGCTTTTTTGATAACCTCAAAATAGACGCTGGCTCATTCAATTTTCACAGACAAAAATACACCAACTGTTAAACTGGTACACCAAATTTATTGGAATACTTGGTTATGTTTTACACAAAATATGGAGTTTTCTGTGACATAAAACTTCAAAAAGCTTTTAACAATGCAGTACAGTTTAGGCACTACCAGCCAAACGTTGAAGGCATTTATTGAAATGTAACAAAATATTACCAACTGAAGGCAGAAGGCATGTTTGGTGCTGAAACAAAATCAGTAAACCGGTGAGTAAATGCCTTATACTGTGAGTACTCTGTAAAGGGTCAAGTCATTAAAATCTGGACAGCAGTGAAATTAATTGCATTATATATCAATATTGGTAATATAGCCAAAGGTATAGTGCAAACGAAATAATGCAACTTTCACATTTCTACCTTTCAATGGATTTGTATGATGAGAAGATTTTATACATATAACTGATAATAATATATCACGATTTTTCAAAAAATAAAAGAAATAGACTGTTTGAAGAGTATGTATCATTTGCAAACTTGCTTGTAGCATAAAGACATGCCCAATGCGATGACAATTAATTGTAAGATATCAAATATTAAATTATCACACTGCAGTTAAGGAATGATTTTTATGTTTCAATAATAGCTTTTAGAAAATGAAGGGAATCAAGTTCAAATATCTTAATAACTGTTACCCTTTGAGAGTGAACAGAGATTGGGCACAGAAAGTAATCACACAAGTGAGCAGTGTGTCAGTACTAACTTTATAGCTCGTGATAACATCTTTTGGCAGTTCAGATTTCCTGCTTAGTCAATAAAAAACCACTCATGTACTTAAACAAATACCTAGATTCCAGTGGTATTTCAAACCATATGTTTGATTATTTTTTTCATTAAACTATCAATACTGGAAAAAAAATCTAAAATCTTAATGTGTTCACCCTTTTTTTTACTACGTTCACAAAGCACTGCATGAAAAAGGACCCAACATGAGGATGCTGATAAATGTCAATCTCTAAATCTGATACACTTGCTGACTTGTCTTTCGTCCCTTTGATCCGAGATTTCTACTCGTATTTGTATAATCTAATTTGTTCATAACAGCTACAGTAAATTGAGAAAGTAACATTTCATGATGTCTAGTGACTGGTAATGAGCTAATAGTATGGCAGGTCATACATTGCCATGGAAACAAGTGTATCACATTTGTCTTATAAGATTTATATGAAATATCTCTCTATTAAAAAGGATAAAAAAAAATAAATCAATTTGGTGCCTGAAACCTGGTCTATTTTTACACCTCTACCTGCTATTCTGAGATGAGATAATTGTTTAAACAAGTTGTCATTATAACCTCCATATATTAGTCGTTGTATCAGTATATATAATATATTACGTCCTGTTTCCCTCCACACATCTAACAAAGCGTCCCGTACCACCATTATTGCTGTAGGTTATAACATATGTACTACATGGATCACAGTCATCGTCCGTTTTACACAACTCAATCTAAATCAAAACATTTACAAAAGTTAAATGCGTAATTTAATTTTTAATATAAATATCTGATTCCACTTTCCCCAGCTTCTACTGTAAAATTGTTTTGTGCTTTAATTAAAACTTCCATAAAATAAAGTATGTACAATTTTTGTTTGTAGAAAGTCTACTACCTCATTTATTTAAATAATGATTTCTTTTCAGAAAAAGTCTTAAAATATTTCGTTTTTCATTAAAAAGCAATCGTGAGATTTAATAAAATTTTATCATATAATTCAGCCAATACCATAATGTCTCTTGATAATAAAATTTAGAAATATTTCAGCCAATTTTGTAAGTTGGAGAAAAGTATGGGCCTTTATAAAAACACCTTTGGTCATTTTCAAAATAATTAGTGTATATTTATGCAAACATAATCTGAAATATTTCTAGTAATATCTGAGAGATTGTAAATATGTTGTGAGAACTTGTTGAAGAATGTGATCCATATTGTACGTGTAATATAAAAGGTACACATAATTAAGGAAGATCATTAACTATTAACAACAAAGGGCTAAAAATATACCCGATTCATTTGGAACCACCAATTAATGAAATAACATCACAAATTAAATAACTAATACTGAACTTTCATTAGAAAATCGTTCATCAATTAAAATGAGACAGAATTAATCAAATCATAAACATAAACAAAGGATGTTACAACTTTACTAATCACATGGATTTCAAATATTTCCAAACTGCCACTTCTGAACTAAACACATTAAGATTTCACTAAACTGGACCTGATTGGACCAGTTTAATTATATATTTTAGTGAATATGTAAGAAAGTGGCAGAAGATTTAATGGTAAAATATAAATTAACAATTGATTATCCTAAAAATTGTGATTATAAAACAAAGTACTAAAACACTATGGCAAGAGGGTAGAAGTGACATACAAATCTGCACCAAAGCTTCCCCGTAAACATACACATCGGGATTAATCATATTAAGTGAAACATCGGTGCTGTGAGTATTGAATACTTTAACTACTATGCCATTTACATATATACATACATTTATATATCTAATTATCCATATAATGTCTTTACACAATGCAAATATGTTAATAAATCTTCACAAATAACATCTACAAGGGTTTATAGTCTTCAATGGTTTTAAATCCCATAGAATATCTACAATATGGTGTGCAGATAACTCATCTCACAAGCATGTTATTAACTCTCCACTGAACAGCTACAATAGTCTGTAGTTCCAGCTATATCTAAGTCTGTAGTTCCAACTATATCAATAATATGCTTTTTTGAAATGTTACAAACTTGTACAATTTCTTACAAGATATTTGAAGGGAGGCAACTCAATATATTCCCTTAGACTAAGAGAGGAAGAGTAGAAGTTCAATAATGGCGCTTTAAATATAATGGTAACAAAGTTATATAACATTGTTGATAACAGAAAAAGGACTATCTTCTAGTCTATTATATTGAATCCTAATTGATTATGATTCGCTTTCATATCATTTACAGAATCTATTTAAGAATTTTAGAGTAGGTCTTGGAATCATGAACATTCCTTATGAAGAACGTTAACATGTGGTTTATCTTTTCAATGACAGCTGCGTTTATTCAAATATCCAATCAAAAATAAAACTTGTTATATTTAAAGAAATATATTCTATAAGAAATCTTGCACATTCAGGAGAAGTAATTCAGGAATGTAAGTGCAAAGCATGTCATTAAAATTGTAAAAATGTTTGTGAAACTGGGACCAGCTGCACCAAGTATGAAATTCTAACAAACCTTTTTTTTAAACTCAAACTAACAAGGAATGATAATCAATAACTCTTTATACAATATAACAACACAGATGAAATGTTAAACACCTGATATGTTAACATATGAATCATTAACATATTAGGTGTACAATACCTTACCAACATCAGCACAAACTATAAGTAAATTAAGAGGTACTAGTGATAACGTATAGACAGAGTAATTTCAGGTGGTGTTAACGTTGATTTCATGTTTTCAATATCAACACAGATTTTTACTGCAAGTCTTACACAGTCTCTCTATCAGGGTAGCTATTTTTGGCAGTTTTAATTTGGCTCTTTAAAATTGCCAACTAAATTACCAGAAATAGTGTAAAATCACTATAAATTTGACAGTTTAATACCACTTTACAGTTTACTGCTAAATTACATTATACATTTTAAAGTTTAATTTTGACAAAGGTTACTAGTGTTATTGCTAGTTTATACAGTTGTGTATCTACATCAATATCACAGTCAGTAGGTACTGGTCCAGCAGTCATTTCCCCATGACCTCCCTATACCCAGTTATAGATGGAGTGTTTTTCCTAGTCCCTAGGACATCATCTCCCTATACCCAGTAAAAGATGGAAGTGTTTTTCCTGGTCCCTATGACATCATCTCACTATACCCAGTTAAAGATGGAGTGTTTGTTGTGTATCTACATCAATATCCCAGTCAGTAGGTACTGGTCCAGAAGTCATTTCCCCATGACCTCCCTATACCCAGTTAAACATGGAAGTGTTTTTCCTAGTGCCTATGACATCATCTCCCTTAATTTTGACAAAGGTTACTAGTGTTATTGCTAGTTTATACAGTTGTGTATCTACATCAATATCACAGGCAGTAGGTACTGGTCCAGCAGTCATTTCCCCATGACCTCCCCATACCCAGTTATAGATGGAGTGATTTTCCTAGTCCCTATGACATAATGTCCCTATACCCAGTTAACGATGGAAGTGTTTTTCCTAGTGCCTATGACATCATCTCCCTTAATTTTGACAAAGGTTACTAGTGTTATTGCTAGTTTATACAGTTGTGTATCTACATCAATATCCCAGTCAGTAGGTACTGGTCCAGCAGTCATTTCCCCATGACCTCCCTATCCCCAGTTATAGATGGAGTGATTTTCCTAGTCCCTATGACATCACCTCCCTATACCCAGTTATAGTTGGAAGTGTTTTTCCTAGTGCCTATGACATCATCTCCCTTAATTTTGACAAAGGTTACTAGTGTTATTGCTAGTTTATACAGTTGTGTATCTACATCAATATCACAGTCAGTAAGTACTGGTCCAGCAGTCATTTCCCCATGACCTCCCCATACCCAGTTATAGATGGAAGTGTTTTTCCTGGTCCCTATGACATCATCTCCCTATCCCCAGTTAAAGATGGAAGTGTTTTTACTAGTCCCTATGACATCATTTCCCTATACCCAGTTAAAGGTGGAAGTGTTTTTCCTAGTGCCTATGACATCATCTCCCTATACCCATGACCTCCCTATACCCAGTTAAAGGTGGAAGTGTTTTTCCTAGTTCCTATGACATCATGTCCCTATGCCCAGTTAAAGATGGAGTGATTTTCCTAGTCCCTATGACGTCATCTCCCTATACCCAGTAAAAGATGGAAGTGTTTTTCCTAGTCCCCATGACATCATCTCCCTATACCAAGTTAAAGATGGAAGTGTTTTTCCTGGTCCCTATGACATCATCTCACTATACCCAGTTAAAGATGGAGTGCTTTTCCTAGTCCCTATGATATCATCTCCCTATACCCAGGTATAGATGGAAGTGTTTTTCCTAGTCACTATGACATCATCTCCCTATGCCCAGTTATAGATGGAAGTGTTTTTCCCAGTCCCTATGACATCATCTCCCTTAATTTTGACAAAGGTTACTAGTGTTATTGCTAGTTTATACAGTTGTGTCTCTATATCAATATCACAGTCAGTAGGTACTGGTCCAGCAGTCATTTCCCCATGACCTCCCCATACCCAGTTATAGATGGAGTGATTTTCCTAGTCCCTATGACGTCATCTCCCTATACCCAGTTAGAGATGGAAGTGTTTTTCCTGGTCCCTATGACATCATCTCACTATACCCAGTTAAAGATGGAGTGTTTGTTGTGTATCTACATCAATATCACAGTCAGTAGGTACTGGTCCAGAAGTCATTTCCCCATGACCTCCCCATACCCAGTTATAGATGGAGGGGTTTTCCTAGTCCCTATGACGTCATCTCCCTATACCCAGTAAAAGATGGAAGTGTTTTTCCTAGTCACTATGACATCATCTCCCTATGCCCAGTTATAGATGGAAGTGTTTTGCCTAGTCCCTATGACATCAGCTCCCTATTCCCAGTGATAGAGGGAAGTGTTTTTCCTAGTCCCTGTGACATCATCTCCCTATACCAAGTTAAAGATGGAAGTGTTTTTACTAGTCCCTATGACATCATCTCCCGATTCCCAGTTATAGATGGAAGTGTTTTGCCTAGTCCCTATGACATCATCTCACTATACCCAGTTAAAGATGGAGTGTTTGTTGTGTATCTACATCAATATCCCAGTCAGTAGGTACTGGTCCAGCAGTCATTTCCCCATGACCTCCCCATACCCAGTTATAGATGGAGTGTTTTTTCTAGTCCCTATGACATCATCCCCCTATACCCAGTTAAAGAAGGAAGTGGTTTTCCTAGTCCCTATGACGTCATCTCCCTATACCCAGTTTAAGTTGGAAGTGTTTTTCCTAGTCACTATGACATCATCTCCCTATTCCCAGTTAAAGATGGAAGTGTTTTTACTAGTCCCTATGACATCATTTCCCTATACCCAGTTAAAGGTGGAAGTGTTTTTCCTAGTCCCCATGACATCATCTCCCTATACCCATGACCTCCCTATACCCAGTTAAAGAAGGAAGTGGTTTTCCTAGTCCCTATGACTTCATGTCCCTATACCCAGTTAACGATGGAAGTGTTTTTCCTAGTTCCTATGACATCATGTCCCTATCCCCAGTTAAAGATGGAGTGATTTTCCTAGTCCCTATGACGTCATCTCCCTATACCCAGTTTAAGTTGGAAGTGTTTTTCCTAGTTCCTATGACATCATCTCCCTTAATTTTGACAAAGGTTACTAGTGTTATTGCTAGTTTATACAGTTGTGTCTCTATATCAATATCACAGTCAGTAAGTACTGGTCCAGCAGTCATTTCCCCATGACCTCCCCATACCCAGTTATAGATGGAAGTGTTTTGCCTAGTCCCTATGACATCATTTCCCTATACCCAGTTAAAGATGGAGTGTTTTTCCTAGTCCATTTCCTGATTAGTTACCTGCATTATCAGTGCTGAAGAGGAGGTCAGGAACTTCATACTTTGGGAAAGTAACGAATTGGTATCATAAATATTGACCAATTAACCATATCTTACTAGTAACCCGACTTTGCTCAGCATCAGACACATCCCTTTGTTTTACAAATTCTACATCCATGTATGTTATCACAAAATATACCCTTTAAATGACATTAGCTGTGATAGCTAGGACGTTAAACAAAAACCAATCTTAAATAAAGGGGCGAGTTCAAGAAGCAGTCCAATCTCTCTGTATTTTCTCTTCAAGTGCTAAATTCCCTGCACACTACATCCATGAGAACTACATTAACAGTTTATGTATTAGAGAAACTTTCCACCTTTTCTTTGTTATACTGACTTATGAACAGTCATAGAATCCTGGTACATGTATAGGGTAGAATGTAACAGAATAGTTCATCTCTACTAGGTTATGTTTTAGAAAATAATCTGACAAATTGGTAAATGGATACCAAAGTAACGATATATCCTTATTTGTACACATAGTGTATACAATTGAACAAGAGGTATGGAATGGCTGTAAGCTTTAGTTATGTTAATAATAAATATTATATATTTCTCAATAATTGTTTCTAGAAATCGATCAAGCAGATCAATGACATATTATTCTTACATCATATATATGCAATGTAAACAGAAGAAGGCAGTATGTATATGTATGTACACACATGTGATATGGAGTGTTATGATTATTAGATTCAGCTGAAAATCCGTGGGGCCTTGACCTGGGCTTGCACCTTTCATGACATTTTCCACTTTTATTTTTTTTTATTTTTGAAATGTCACTCCTTCTTTTACCATCTTTGCTCTACCATGTGCACCGACACACACTCTATCACACTGTACTTGTGTCCAGGAGGGTGCAGAGTCTGCGGCTCAGAATTTGACTCCATTCTGAAGACATTAGACAAATGTGTCAAAATATCTCCAAACAAGTGAATCCTCCAAACTAATCGGTCGTTAACAGTAGACAGTATTGGTGAATAGTGACGGACAACCTTTCACTAGGTAAAATATTGTGTCCCACAGCGGTTTATATAGAGGATTTGAGGACGTTGTATCGCTTCAGTGACATTCTCACTGATCCCAATTCCCTCTCCACTCGGTCCAAGTTATCCTCTAGGTCCTCCTGTAGAGTTAAACAACACCATGTCAATAACACTCATCTTACACAGCACTAGCCTCTATCATCTAGTCAGAAGTCTTGAAAATACTATACCACATATAGTTTTACAAGTAACTTTAGCTTCAACAATTCCTCTGATGTAATTTGCTTTATACAACAAGCAGGTGGTTAAATATCCCTTCTATCTCTAACAATAGGTAACTGACCCAAACCTTACTCTCCTCAAAGAGCTGAAACAACTCAATAACTCAGATACTTTTTGGACCCTACAATTTCATTTTAGGCAGTCTTTTGGAGCCCATGACTTAAACTTAAGCAGTTTTCAGTGAATACTAGCATAAATAGGATTTAAGCTAGTCATTAACGTAATTTGATTCTGGTCAGGAAACAAATTGCAGACAGGCATTACTTTTACCTGCAAGATACACATTGTACACTGTTGGTTGGTTAAAAGGTGCTGAATGATACAGATTGATATGACAATATAGACAAGATAAGATTTGAAATTATAAACAACATTTGCCAAATAGTTTTTTTAAAACATCTTATAAAGTAAATCTCTTACTCTCTTTTTTCGGCTTTTTCCTTGTGACGGTAACCGGCTGAGAGACGATTCAAGCTGAAATTAGAAAAAAAATCCATGTATGTTTGAAAATATTTCTTTAAGGAATGATTTGGTTTGATTTTATTTTGTTTGAAGTCCTATTAACAGCTAAGGTCATTTAAGGACGTTTTAAGGAATGAATGCAGGTCCAAATGATATTATCATGGTGGGAAAAAATAAGATTGTGAATAAAAGTAAAACTGAAAATTTGTTTTATAAAGAAAATTTATTGTTGAAAATCCTATTACATGTATTACCTGGCGTTTTTGTGAATTGAGGTCATCATATCGGTGTTCCATATCTCCTATGGATCGCAGCCTCTCTTTAATTCTGTCTTCCCGAGACTGAAAACAAAAAACGGTAGGATGTACATTAGAAACAATCTTTTAATAATATACTAATACATTATCATTATCTAGTTAAACAACACAACTTGATTTACAAGATTTAAAAAAAAAATGACACCTATGAACAAAATGTATAAGTAAATGTATTTTAATAAATAAACCTAAATTAAACATTTTAAAAGGTGATTTTCATTCTTGAACTACCTTTTGAATCAAGTGTCCTCTGTAGAAGTCCTAGCTTGTTCTTAATCAAACTCTACAAAGTTGTCTGCTACCTTTAATGAAATTTACCTAGTATAAAGTTTGAAGACAATTGTGGAAACAAGTCCTGTGGAGCTTTTTTAGGTATATGTAGACAGGAGACAATAACCAGCTGATACTGGGTCAGGACTGACCATCTAAGGTGGACCGCCAGTCCACAGGACCAGACCTCCAATAATGAGGCTTTACAAAGAACACAACAAATTGAAAAGGTGATACCTTTTACCCGCAGTATATGTAATAATAAAACAAAGATTCAACCTAATCATGTTACACGGATAAAAATGCTCTCTTCATTAAACAGCTGACCGTATGACAAATATATTCCCTTTTCTCAAAACCAGTAAACTGTGTGTGTAAGACTTACTGTAGGTTGTCGTGGAGAGGGCGGTGCAGCCTTAGGTTTAGATGCCATAGAGGTATATGTATCTTCCCAGTCCGGCCTAGAGAGGTAGTCCCCAGCTCGCACCCTGTCCAACATCTCATCCACAGTCATACTTGGCTCCGACGGCACTACAGCTTCTGTAAGGGGAGGTAAGTAGGAGTTAATTCATACCTCCAGCAGGAACATGGATCATGTACAGTAAACTTACATGTTATTGGAAATTTTTACAATCTGTATAATAAAGTTTGACTACCAGTATATGAAAGTGTAGCTTGTAAGAAACAAATGATACTTAGCTTTAGTTTAAAATTGTCATGACTTTTGGTTGATGAAAATTTCAAGCTATGCAATGTAATGCCATATTTGGGACTTTGTATGAACATGAATAACTAAGAACACTGGATTATCTGAAATCATATCCAAACAGGTATACAATATTTGATGTTTACTGAGAATTCTTTGCCGTACACAAGAAAATGCTTACTGTACAATACGCTGCATACCTGCAATAGTGTAATGCATAACCCTTTTTTAATCTAAATGCAGTCAAATATATTTTTCCTCAAACAAATTCACCAATCTTAATTTTGTGCGATAGCTACACCAGAGAGTGAGATCAAATGACCGCTAAGTAGTACGTTCTATGAAGTTCAGCATTCCCCAGTTAATGGATTTTAAATGGAATCCAACTTGCGTGCTGAAACATGTAAACTTTGGATTAAAGTTGCTGATAGACCCCATTTGATGTCATTGTAGTCATCTCTTCTATTTAGTTTGTAAATTAAATTATTTTCCTAGCTATGTCTTTATTACAAGGGCACCTTTTTTTCGAATTATTAAATGTAAGAATAAATTTTAGACAAAAAAAACCCATTGGATTTTGGTGGTTTTATTTAAGAGTTATTTGAACTTCCTTTTCTGGACGTCCTTACTATATGAACTTTTTTATGCCACCTCCAAAGCTTAACATCAAGGCAGACTCTGACTTGGACTCTGTTGTGATTTAGCTATTAAACACATTTACAACACACAGATCTCATTGGTTTCACACTAATCTGACCATTAATATTAACTGTTGAACTGGTTTTAATGGTTTTAGTAATGAGTGTAAGTGGTTTGATGGTCATGCCTTTTTCATGGACAATTAATGGTACACACTTTGGTAGTGATGGCTGGCTTGAGAGCTACTCTGAACTGTCAGCTAATTGAGTTGCCAAACAATTCCTGCTACCTAGTAAACTACAGTATAGTACCATAGATGGTTTACCATTTACTCCAGACTGCAACCTTTAGATACTTAAGAGTCTGGGTTCTTTACTGGTTAATCTAGATCGTGAGATTTTAGGCTGTGTTAAGGTTTACTACTGCCTTTATATTAGCAGCAGCCTGGTTGGTTCAATATGTAACACGAGGTATTAGATCCTCTTATAACACCACATTCCTTAATCTTCTTTTTATACACATTCTTGGTCTTGTAACAAAAAAATTAGTACTGAATAGTGAAGTACATTTAAGCTGTTCAAGTCGATTATATATAAAATGGTAACAGCAAAATCAATAAAATATGAAAGCTTTTAGAATTGTCAGAAGTAGGTTAGGCTCATATCCTTATCAAAGAGTTAAAATTAACTATTTACCATTACAAGCCGGGTCCACTCAAATTTAGAAACCTATTTTAATATACATTGATTAATTTCAATCAATACACCATATATATAATTAATCATGTTTATATAACACCATGACACACTGTCTCCACAAAAAGCATATTTTATGGGGTAAAATTCACAGACAAATAAACTGCTGAGTTAGTCTGCTGGTTGTTAGACACCCGACTTACTACGACAAGGGCGGGGCACACGAGGGAGGCTGGAGGAGCGCCTCCTCACACAAGGGCTCAGCGACCTAGACCTTGTTCGAGACCGCCCCCTGGGGGGTCTCATAACTAAATAAGAGCAGTGGTGAAAGAAACAGTTCAAAACTCTACTTCTGTCACACAACATATCTGTCTCTTTCAAATAAAACTGAACACAAAAATAGTGCATGCAAATGTGTCAAATTAAAAAAAAGCTATCCTCAATCAATCTCAAAATGCATGCAAAAACCTGTCAGATATTAAAAACAAAACATCAATAAAATGTTCACAACATATCAGCACAGTTAAAAAACACCATTTCCTGTAATTAACCATCAGATACTAAAGGTACCCCTGAGATCATCAGATACTTACAGGATACCCTAGCTATAGGGACCAGAAGAATATTTGATTCATAATATCACTGTGTTACTCTCTCACATCTTTCGAGATTTTATAAATTTATTATCGTTTCTTGTGAAAAATTTCAAGGACTCATTTATAACATCTTATCGATTTCTTCAACTTTATAAAAAAATACTTCATTTGTGTTATAACCTGTTCAGCAAATATCAAAATGAAGAATTTATAAATAAAACCATTAAGATTCTTTTGTATAATTTTTACAAAGGTTTTGTTATTCAAATACTCAAATTGAAACATATCACACAGTTCTAAACAAAACGCAAGACATGCAATCATCATGTGATGTGGTATCCTACCTTTGTTCTTCCTCCTGTCCTCCCCACGTGGAATACTGGAGTTACCTCCTCCTGGGGGTTTCTTATTTGTCCATACAACACCACTAGGCTGTGGAAGGCCATCACCAGGTGACCTTGACATTTTATTTTCAGAATTTACATCAAATCTTGTCTGACTAGAAAAATCTTCTTTCCCATTTTGACCTTTGGCTGATGTCTGTGTAGTTCTACGTGACGAGGATTTTGATTTTGAATTTGCTGACTCTAATTTGGAACTTTTTGAGGATTTCACTAACGGAGAACTGGATGTAGACTTTTTCTTCAGTTTCATATTGTCTGAGTGCCTATCAGGGGACATGTCTGTCTGTCGACTTGGCGTAACCATGTCACTACCATAGAACTTCTTTTTCTGTATTTTTGGCTGAGCAGGCTCCCTCGATGTTGTAGGAGAGTTCCGTAAAACATCCCGCAGTCGGTAGAGCTCCTCTTCTGCCCGCATGATTGGAGATGACACATTATTGTCCTTCTCTGGTGGTGACCTTTTGTTTCTAGGTGGTGTTCTCATTGGTCTGAAAATTTGATAAATAAATCATTACCTAAATTTGATTGATTTTATAACACAATAAAATATCAAATTTGATGAAAATAATTATGTTGAAGTAAGTTTCAAATTAAATTTTACCCTTATCTGTTATTTGACAAAAAAAAATAACTGATCACATTTAAAACAGTCTTTTACATTATTTCTATAAAACTGATGAATATTCTATGTTTAAATTGATGATTTATAGCACAATAACTGTGCATTGTGATTTCTAAAATCTTCTGATGCCAGTAACAATAATGGATTTGCTACTATACTCACAGTGTGTCCTCTGTTCTGTGGAAGGATCCATTGAGAACACTGGAGTCCTCCTGAGGTGGACTTTGGTGTAATGAACCATTCATTCTATCATTATCCACATACGGTGTTGACCTAGGCTGTGGCCTAGAGGGGGTGTGACCTTCTGATTGGGGTTGAAGCCTAGATGTGCCATGGTAGCGGTCTGTTTGAGGGTTTGAAGGAGCACAGTTATTGTCAAACTGAGGTTTAGTCGGAACGGGGTTACTGGCAGGCTGAGGTCTGGAAGGGGAAGGAGAAGGGCGGCGATGATCTAGGGCCAATGCTTCCTGCTGGACCCCTAGGGATTCATGTAGACTGTTGTAGATGGAACCAGATATATTGTGACTGGAAAAGAAAGCAAAAGGTATGACACAATTCCACTAATACAGCCTGCCAATGTAGGACACCAATAACAGTGGCATTTGTCAATGGTTACATTTAATGGTATAAAATTTGGAAAACAACACACTAATAGTTTCAACATTTAATTATAATGAAATGCCACATAGACACCTAGACCTCAACAGTAAGTTACACCATACAACATGTGTGAAATGATTATTCTTACTTGTGGAGATTGTGTTGTTTCACAAAACCCCCACCCTGATGCAATAAATGTGAAGATCAAAACATGGTCAAATTATGAAAAAAAAATGTAAATATTTTCGACCTTTAATTGTCTTTATATCACAACTAGACCTTAAATGAACGCATTTACAGAATTGTATATGCGTGGGATGCATACTTATAGTGTTGAAGGTATTTCAAAAACTTACCCCAGAAGTTTTCATATGGGACACAAATGCTGACATGGACACCAGGGGTTACATCATAACTCCTGATTACTTATAACCGTTGAAGCTGATTATGAATTTAATATAAGACACTGACCTGACACCCTGAGGAGTGTCTGATATTAAAATGGCACCCTGAGGACATAAAATACTGACCTGATGCCCTGCGTGATTTTGTGATGTAGGTTGTCATTTTCCCTGCTCAGCCTCTTGTTCTCCAACTCTAGCTTGGTGATGGTTCTGGTGAATAAAGGTTTAATAAAAAATCTCAAACGCTGATCTACCGGTAATTATTTTGATGTTGAGTACATTTGTCAGTATATTTTTCTGAATTTTTCTGAATTTTTCTATCGTTATAAAATCCTGACAAACACAAGTGAATAGATTTTAACCGTTTCACCACTGTAGACTGTGATCGATGGACTCATCAAGATCAATGCATGGTAGAGTTTACTGAAGTTACATAGGGGTGCATGGTAGAAATTACTGAGGTTACATAGGGGTGAAAGGTTATAATGTTATCTAACAAGATATTCTTTTACAACTCTTGTTAAGATGTTACTAAAGCTTTACCTCTTCATCTCAACGTTTTCTGTCCTGACATCATACATTTTATTTTCAAGGTCATTGACAGATTCCTAGAATAGATAAAAGAAAAAGAAATAATTTGTTTATGACATGTTAACTTGCACATATCATCATTTACATGTCTCACAGTAACTAAGGCTACCATGCCTTTTATGGATTAAAACAGTTGTGAATACATTATGGAAATATGATATAAATAAATACCTTAACCTCCACAAAATTGTTCCTTTTGTCTTTTTAAATATCAATTTCCTGTATATCATGTTTTAGATGAATATCAATTCCTGACCAAGCATTACAGACCTAACTATTATCATAGCAACCGTAGCTACAACAGTTAACATACTAGCAATCAGCATATTCTTTCAAAATAATTGATAGGATGTTAATTAAAGTGACTGAAACATCCACTTAACAAACATACTTTACCTTGAGTATGGCACGTTCCCTCTCATTGGCCTGGTACTGTTCTACCACCTGTATAAACAAACCACAAATTTCAAAGAATTAACACAAATGGAAATAATATCAATTGAAATTTGATGGCTATAGCTAAGTAACAAAGCAGTAATTAAACAAGGATAGCAATGATACGCTGATAACTTCAGCTTAACTAACAATGTAGAAATAAAAGTGGCTCCCCTCATTAATAGCCAACATGCATATTTGTCACTTAATTCACATTTGACCTTAGAGGTGAAGGTCATGGTGACCTAAACAGCACTGCACACAATCACTTGGTGAATCAGGAACACTTTTAATTTCATCAATACATATTTAATAGTTTAAAAGTTACAAAATTTTGCATTTATTTGATTTTTGAGCTTTAAGTGACATAATAATTACAGTGCACTGCACACAACATGAAGATGTATATTTGAAGTTTTCTCAAGATAACTTTTACAGTTTAAAAGTTACTGCCTGGACAAGTTCTATTAAAAGAAGAACCAAGAGAAGAACCAGGATTGATACAATTTGTCTCCCTTCATTCCAAAGAAGAGCCATTACAAGCAGTTCAATGATATACAGATTGCTATAGCTTAAGTAACAAAGTTGTGTATTATATTATCAATTATTCTATACTCATTTAGGTTTCATCTTTTCAACTTTTCAATATTTTCCCATAAAATTTGTAAGAAATGAATACCAAAGCTTGTAATTCTCAAGGAACGTTACAGATGAAATGGTCCTCTTTAGCATCAGCTGAACTAAGGTGCAGTCCCTTATAGGACATGAAGCACTTGACTTGTTGAAAAGGATTCATAAAACATCCAATGGCTAAAACAAACTTTGATTTATACTTCTAAGTAAGAATGAAATATCTGACATTAACATTTCAGACAAAGATAGTGTTCCCACCTTCTCCAGAGCAGTACGGTCCCGGTGGATGTAGGTGGCCTGGTCCTCTTGTATCTGGATACAGATAAAACAGTTATTATTGTTAACTTCATAAATCAATACTTGTTGCTAACTTTTATCAGATACATTTACACACTTCTAGTAAATGTTATCAGATAAACCAACACACAGATAAAACAATTCTTATTGTTAACTTCATTAAAAAACCAAACTTGTTGTTAACGTTTATCAAATACATTAACACACTTCTTTTTAACTTTACCAGACAAGAGTACCGCCGGGCGGAACAATATACGCCCGTCGAATGCCATATAGTGTTATATACTTTCTTACATTGAAATAAGATCTGCATCATTCTAAGAGTGGTAAGCTGACATGCTATAAAAAGTATAGTAGAAAATCTCCGGACAAAAAATCAAATACTGAAATGAACAAAGGGCAATAACTTTTAGAAAAATTGTCAAATCAAAATTCTTTTAATGGAGACACAACTTCATATCATGATTATAACGTATACAAAGTTTCAAAGAGATCCGTTGAAAAATGTAGGAGATGCAGATCTTATTTCAATGTAAGAAAGTATATAACACTATATGGCATTCGACGGGCGTATATTGGTCCGCCCCACGGTACTCTTGTTCAGATATCAAATTGCCAAATGTACAATCAAAGAAATAACTTTATCAAAATAGCTTTCATATTTGATTGAATGGAGTATACGACTTAAACAAAACAAAACAATGACTACAACATGCCAATGGTCTTTGCCTGCTATTCCTTCTTTAAATCATTACCTTTATTTGTCAGTGTTTTGTTATATTGTTTTACCTACTTTCTTAGCCTTTTTCAGATTGTTCTTGTGTGCATTGTTCTCCGCCCTCAGCTGTTCTAGTAGGTCATCCTTCTCCCCACTACGGAACTGTAGCTCCTCTACTGTGCTGCGGAATGTGGATATCTTATCCTGGGCTTCCTTGTAGTAGTCTGCATATTCAATCTGTAATATTGCAAGGTACTTCTATAGTATAACATATAGGCTTACAGTAGGATACAGCTGTAACTGTATATTTAACATGAGTCATAGCCAAGACAAATTCAGAGAAAAGAAGTCATTTGAAACTATATAAATGAGTTTTACAACCAAATGATACAAAGAATATGATGCTATGATACAGATCATGAATTCACTGTTAAATTGGTCTAAAACTTTCACAACTGGCTTTCAATAGAATTTATTTGTAAGTTATTCCTTTGCTACATATATGTGTAGTTCAATTTGCTAAAACTGAGTTTTTTCTTTTTAAATATTGAAAGAGTTCAATACTGGAAACACTCATAATTATCATCATGTTACATGAATTAGCACTTCTGAATAGCTAGGGTATTTAAATAGTTTGCTGACATCAAATAATTGTTATTAGTTATTACATGTATCTACAAACTTACAGCTCTGGTCTCTAGTGCCTGTACTTTCTGTTCAATCTCATAGTTCCTTCTGAAATACACAAAACCAAAAATTATAGTAAACTGTATTTATTTATAAACATTATTTGACTGATGCAATAAAGGACGGACAGAGAAACTAAGTATATCTCTAAATATTTGTGGTATCCAAAACTTGAAATATAAAACTGAATTAAACAATTTGTGTCAATAATATACAGACATTAACAGGAACAAATATTTACACTATTTTCATGATATCTTTCAGTTTCTGGAACACTTACCCCCCCCCTCCCGCTGTTATTACTGTGTACAGTAACTATCACTCACCTGTTAGAAATGTCTAATTTATCCTCCAAGTCGATAATCTTCTCTCTCTGTAACCTAAACTCGCGTTGCAACTTCTCATTTTCTGATACAAAATGTTGAAGTGACTCATGTCCACTGACAGTGTCATTGTCGGATGCCTTAAGAGCTTGCCTCAGCCCCTGGAGCTCCTTCTCGTAGTATTCCCGCAGGTCTGCCATGTGCTTGGCATGCTTTTCCCTCAATCCTACTCTTGTGCTGATTGAATAAAAAAAATAGTAGTATTAATTATATAGATATTTATTTAATTGTTTATATAATGAATTGTTTAACCAAGATAAAAAAAAACAATGTAGAATCTACTCTCTTTAATTCAAAACTGACATTAAATGAGTTAAATTTATTGCAAGGACACCTTATTGTTCAGGGGCTGACCCCAGGGCTCCCCAACCGTTGCACCCCCTGGCAAAATATGCTTGCAAGCAGTATATATATGGCTAGGGAAAAGGAATTTTTTGGGAAAAAATAATGCAACCTTTTCGTTTATAGTGTTTCTGTTTCAAAATTTAGACTTTTATTGTGGATTTTTTAAAAATTTTACCCATCAATATAATCTCACAGTACACTATAACAAAAATTGTTCAACAATCTTCATTTTTTCAATATGATGCAACATAATTGGCAAAGATTAGTTTGGAATTTACAATAAAAGGTGTATTCTTCTTTTGTTTGTGTAAAGTGCTACCTGGAGGAGAGATGAACATCATCAGATAGGGTGGCTGAACTATACAGCTCTGTGTCGAAGCTCTCCTGCTGCTCCACACGTTGACGATGTCGGTCCTCTAGTTCCCTATGGAGAACAGAACTCTGGCGCTTCTCACTCAGAGAAGGGGAGACAATCAGGGGGTAGATCTCCTTGTTTCTTGGGGGTGTTGTAGGTTTGGCTGATGAAGACAGCTACAAAATGAGGTACATTTTAACGCCATTTACCAAGTGTTTAAAACAAATTGCTCATACTTGACACAATACAGTACTCATATTTAAAAAAGATTATATTAACAGCTGTGATAAACTTTGCTCATCAAAAATATCTAAGAAAATGCAAAGTATTTTGAAACTTTTACAGATGCATAGATACTAGATGGATGGAAGTATTTTCCAGAAATGCCAGAACCAATTACCAGAAGTAAGACAGAGTTGGTATACCTTCGACTGACTGCCTTTTCCACGACGTATGGGCATGGGACTGCTGTACACTCCAGCCCTTGGAGGTACCTCACCGGGATCAACAGCCATCCTCTCCAGATAGGGCCTAGATAATGGTGGTGACCTTGATCTAACTCTGGGTGGTGATCTTGACCTAGGTGGTGACCTTGCTTTAGGTGATCTTGACCTTGGAGGTGATCTTGATCTTGAAGGTGACCTTGCTCTTGATGACCTTGACATTGGTGGTGACTTTGATCGTTGAAGTCTTGACCTTGGTGGAGATTTTGGCCTTGGAGATCTAGATCTTTCCGGTGACCTTGACCTTGGAGGTGTTGTCAATGTAGGGGGTGAACTGTGAGCCCTCTGTGCAGGTGATTGTTTAGCAGTGAGAGAAAAGTCGCCCTCCAGTGACCGCCTGACAGGTGGAGGAATGTCCATTTCTCGTCGGACTTCCTGGTAAATTTCACGCCAGGAGGGAGAATGTTCACGGGGATGTCTAGTAGAACCTTGATTCTGGGATTGTCTTGGGGAGTTGTAGTCCTGTTGTTGTCTGGGAGACATATAAGGAGATCTGTCTGATGATCTTTGACTCACCTCACTTCTATAGACAAAAGAAATCAAAGTAAGTTTCCTTTTTTAATAATGGATATATTTCCTTTAAGGATTCAGAATTTCCTAATACAAAGAATTCACAAAGTAGAATAGTTAATTGTTTTCCCTTCAGGATTTAGAATTTCCAACTACAAAGAATTTAATATATTTTCTTCATAAAAAATTCTTGATAATGAAATAAATCACTTAGTAATGTGGCTTTTATGACCTTTTATTACACTCTTCATACTTACCTGTAAGTGTCTGGTGCCTGCAGTTCAGCTGTGCTGTTAAGAGATGAGCTATTTTCCAAAGCCTCCTTATGAACCTTGAGCTTACGTCTCAGCTGCTGCTGTTGGTCAAACAGCTCATTCTCCATCCTCTGCTGCATCTCAAATATGGTCTCCTTGTGCTGGCGATGCTGATGTTTCATCTCCTGTTCATGTTTCTCCTCCAGTGTCGTAAACATCTGCATCCAGCTTGTCTGTAACAATCAAAACGACCATATAATAAACTTCATGTAAATGTATAAACCATGTATATCTTATTGCTTAATCAAAACAGTTGACAATGAATTAGTCTTTACCGTTTTTGTGTGGAGGAAGTAAATAGGTACATGTACCAGTGTTTTAATTTGTAGACCATATGTACATATATATTTTACCTGCTATAAGGTCTGTCACTCCAGTGAAATAACATATCTTGTAGGTCAGGAGCAACAGAATATCTAACTTCTGGCTATCAATTAATATTTTATCCACTCTCATGTCCGAGTGAATTCTCAAGACAAAGTATCACTGACTCACTGAAGCTTGGAAGTCATTCTTGAGAATTAATTCACTTATTTAAATATAATCACAATCATCAGTGGTTATAATACCGTAACTATCATCCATACTTATTATACACAAATCATACTTTCCAATACAAGTTTGATGAGAACTAGATTTGGTAGTATTTTTATCAGGTAAATACTACTGAAAGTGATGTACAATGAAGCCATTTCAAATGCTGACCATCTATTTATATCTATAGCTACTGCAGTACAGATATATAATCATCACATTAGCATTAATAGCAATATATTAGTGAGTACCTTATCTAAAGTTCATTTAAGTACAGAACTATAGTTTATCTAGATACCTGTACATACCTGCTGCTCTTGCAGAGTTTTAAATGATGGTACTGGTCCAGAGCTAAGAGTGGATATGGTGCCATCATTACTCAGGACACTCTGGCCACTGGCCAGTGAGGATGACCACTGGGGTATACCAGCGCTCAGGTGTGTTGCTCCGTACTCCTCGTATATACGAGCCAATAGAGATTTCTCATTCTCAGTTAAATCAGTTGATGCATCAGGGTCATTCCTGGTGTCTAGATAACTACCTTCAAATGCCCCTTGTGGCAGCTGGTTTCGTAAGCAATCACTTGGGTTTTCATTACGTAGCACTCGGTTGTAAATACTATCCACCAACTCCATGGGTGGTTCATTTGATACGGTTTGAGTCTGACCACGATAAGGCACTGACGGGAACTTGGCATAGGTTTCACCAGTACTGTTTTCCCTGGCCAGTATCTGTTGGTACCTCTGATAGGCCCCAGGGTCAGTGAAGTTCACATTATACCTTTGCAAGTCTTTCTCTGTGATGAGAGGCCCCCTGTTCTGTGTACTCCCATCCTGCTCAGAAAGCTCACTTTGAAGTGGGGCTTGATGTCTGAACTGGGATGTAGCAGGCTGTCTATCTGTTCCCATATCATTTAGTGACCTTGAAGGATGTCCTCTTTGACCTTGAACTTGTGAACTATGTGATAAAGATAGTCCAGAACCAGGAGCATATAAACTCGAGGACTGAAGGATTCTGTGGTCAATTCTTTCTCTACCATTTGAGTTTTGAGTCAATCGAACAGAAATTGGATCCTGGAATATCTCTGAGTTAAGAAGCTGAGGCTGACGTTGGGCACTATCACCCTGGTAGCCAGTATGACTTGATACATCACTATTGACTGCCTGTGACACGGGTCCATAGCTATTGTACTGTCTGCCATCACCTTGGTCCACAGGGAGGCCACTGTCGCTCACCTTGTTTACACGATCATCTGTCACTTGATTTTTATACTGATCTCTGTAAACATCTGAAGTTAAATGACCATTATAACCATCATGTCCACCATCATGAAAATTGTTTTCTGACATTGGTATCATAGGGTTTCCATTTTGTTGAGAGGAGAGACCTGGAGGACATCCACCATTTACACTATAAAGGGCCGGATTGACTGAACCATTACCTACTGGATGTCTGTTTACCTCCTCACCTTCTCTAGGCATAGAAGTTTTCAAAGGGACATTGGCTTTCTCAGGACTTTTCTTGATATGGAAAGATTTATGACTACTGGAGCCACTTGAGGGTGATGAAACCTGAGAATTGTGAGGGGACTGACTCTCATTTGGTGGTGGGGATACGAAACCCTCACAATTACCCCTGTCAAATTGCTCAACTGGATACTTTTTTGGAATTTTGCCATTCTTTTTGCAAGTGATATTTTCCCCTGTTTCCAGAATTAAACACTCTTTTTCGTTTGGTCCTACAGTTCTACACACTTTGTAATTACCGTAATTTTCAGGAAATTCAGGATAAGCTGCTAAGGGAGCTAACTTGCGTAGGCCCTGTGGTCCACAATCTGTGTCGGACATGGTATCCTCGACAGTATACTTTTGCACTCCCTTCCCACAGATAACAATACCTTCTGGGTTGTCTGTCTGGGTACTATCACAAGAAACCATGGAAATATCAAAAGTTTCATTTTCCATCTCAGAATCTAGAGTTATATTAGATCTTTTAGGAAGATCTATACCACTTCCACCCGATGAATACTCAAGGTTAGTACTGTTATCAAGCTGTATATCTATGAGACTCCTGACACCATCACTCTGACCCTGGTCCAGTGAAACACTCTTCTCATTAATATTTGCCCTGACTTCTGTATGAGTTGCCTCATTAGATGGGGGTGCTGGCTTGCCATTGATTGTGGGTTTCACGTCTCCATCTGTAGGCATAGACGCCGATGACCCTGCCTCTGTTGCGTCATCATGAAGTGAGGTGTCACTCTCATTAAAAGATGATACTGCATGACCTAGAACATGCTGAACAATTAACTGGGCAAATTGACTTGAATCCTCTTCTCCAGAATCATCTAATACTTCCTTCATTTCTTCTTTTCCTCTAACCTCAACATCATCAGCTCCATATCCATCACCTATAGGTTTACTAGTGAAAGTTACACTGTCAGTTTTGTTTGGCTGAATATTTCCATCTGAAGATTGACCTTCACTGTAATCACCATTACCTTGACCTTGGTGGTCCTCTTCTTCCTGTTTCATGTGTTGACCAAAGGAACTCATGCTGTCATACTCCTCCAATTGTGAATCTGATACAGAAGTCAGACTATGGTGATCAACGTCTTGTTCATCTTGAATATTTTCCTGTGATTGTAGATCTAATGGTGTTCGGTTTTCTGACCTCTCCTTCGACTGGGTATCAGATATTGTACCATCTTGGGACATCTCCTCCCCATGGAAAGTTGGAGTAACATTACCATCTTCAGATATCTCTATTATAAGTTGTTCTGGAGATACATTACCATCTTTGACCTGCATCACAGGGGAAACAGTGCCATTTGGTGGTTGGGTAATGAGGACTGGTGAGGCGGCTTCCCTGTGTATCAACTGGCCCTCATCTGGCATAATGTCATCACTTTCACTTGAACCTGATTGTTCTGAAGTTGAAAGTTTATAATTGTCTTCTGACTGTTGGACAAAATTTGTACTTGAAGTTTCTGGTTTGTCTTCCTGAGAATCAAGCTTGTTATCGTTACTGATAATGTTGTTGGTTTCCTGTGAAAAAGCACCTTCTATTTCAATAACAGAGCCACTGTCTGACTGGTCAGCGCTTTCAATAACTGACCCATTTCCTGATTGCTCAACACCACCTCTGATGACTGAACCATTTTCTGATCGGTCAGTATTTTGTCCTAAAATAACAGAACCGGTTTCTGATTGGTCAAAGCTAATGTCCAGTTCTGGTATGTGTATCTCAGTAGCCTCACTACCATCCTGAGTAAAGCTTGATTGATCCTCATTGGATGTAGTTTCAGAATTGTCAATAACAGATTTCATTAATTCTTGCACTTCTCTATCTGCTTTTGTAGTCAGGGTAGTCTCTGTGGAAGCTATTGATTCCTCATCATTTATCTGGTTACCTTCCTCTGGAGTGGGCGTGGTGCTGCCATCTGCGCCTTGTGTTGTGTCATCCTTGTTATCAGACAGAACAGTAGGACTTTGACCACCATCAGCCCCTTCCATACTCTCACTTTCATCCTCTGTCTGAAATCTACCATCACCTTCTCCTTCCATACTTGTAGGTAGTACTGCTAATGATCTGAAATAGATAACAAGATAAACAATGTTAACATAATGTGTATTTCTAGCAGCAGAATATAGAGAATAAAAACATATATACAATATTTCTTTGGCTAAGAGAAGAAAGATGCTGGTAAACTTTGAAAGCCAGCAGTGCCATAAATGTATTGTCCAATGCCCAAAAGATTTTGTATATCAACACAGTCAACAGTCAACAAAGACTGATTTCCTGAAAATCTGGTATAAATTAAAATTTACCAATAGTTTACAAAGGAGATGCATGTTGTTTGATGAAAATCCAAAAAATAAGTTTCAGAGGAAATGCCAATTATAAAGTTTTTCACTGAATGACATTTGATAAAATCAATATACTGGCTTTCAAAGACAAACTAATTCAGTTGCAGGCTGTGATCTGCCAGTATAGGGCTGACTGCAAAGAGTCATATTTCACCCATGCATTTGATTATACTAGCGATGAGATCAACATGGACATTTTTAATTTGTTATGGATGGGTATTGCTGACCAAGAAATCTTTTCAGACTTGCTCGCAATGAAAGGTTATCCCAAAATGGACAAAACACTGGAGGAAACAGTGTTCTTTATTGCCCAGAGAGGATCAGATAGAGCAAAGTAACCAAAAGTGCAATGGAAGACTTTGTAGGTACCTTGCAATACTGCCAAGCCACCCATATCACCAGCACCTGGAGGTAAATACATGGCATGCGCGCAGCTGTCCTGCTCCCAGGAGTAAAAATGACAATAGGATGAAGAATAATATTCACTATACTTACAGGTACATGACTGTTAAATGCGCATTAAATTGTTTAATGTGTCATACTAGTAAACTGAAAGTCCTTAGGATTGATCCTTATATTTATAGCGGAGACAATATATTAAAAAGTAATGACCTTTGAAACTCAGTTTGTTTCATTGAGCCAACGTATGGACCCAGGAAGCATTGACAAAAAATACCCAATGTTGCATTAACAAGCATCACTCAGAAACATTCTGGATGGGATCTTTCCTGGCTGGATGGTATGCCATCCTGTTAAAATATAAGCTGCTTCTTACCAACTCGGCTAGGTAGAATCCCTCTTTAGCTCATTCAACAAAGCATCAGACTATGGCAAGCTTAGTTTGATCCCTAGCGGAGGTATTGCATCCAAAATAACTACATCTATGACAAGAATAATAATAATCCTTCTTAATATAATAATAAAGACGTTACAAGGATAATGTCATTTGACTACTGCACCAGTCGCCTTTTCTAGACAAACCTGGAGAAAACGGTGATAGTATGGTCAAATGAATTGTGCAAAATAAACTTAATGTGGATGATTATATCGTCATAGGAAGCGTGATGAAGTTTATGAGATCATCGACAAGGACCTGTTTCAAGAGTTCATGCTGTTGTTTACGTTTTTGGGTCAAAACAAACATACGCATTTGGTCTTCATATTTGGGTGATTCCGACAAGGCATTTTCATCTAAAGTTTAACCTGTACATCTTATACTTACCGTTTGAAAACAGATTGATGTACAAAGACTACATCTTATCGCAGTTATAGAACATTCAGCTTCTCTCTCTCTTCCTGTCTCAAGTCAAAACATGCGTCTGCGTCCGCGGGGTAAGCGTAGTATAATACGCGAGTATCTTGTAATTTAGCGACACAAATATTCAAGTTTGGAGTTATAGTCAGACGATTTATACACTTTGTTAGATGTAAACAACATGAAACACATAGATCTTAACAAAACATATTCATATAAGACCAAAAATAAATCAATTAAGAGATATGCGGTAACATTTGTTTATTCTTCGTACTCGCGTCTAATTGTACCAGATATTGCATCCTAGTCTTATAGACGTTTGAAGAGCAAGGGGAAGCGTGAATCCCACGAAGGTAGGTAACCTAATGCTTTCTTTTAAAACCCAACAGATTAATCAATAATGACAACATTATATAGGAGTAGTTAAGAAACTTCCACGTGTGCTACCATGCTTTAAATTAGCTTTGGACATAGGCCTATTCCACGGTCACACAGGTTTAACCCGTTACGCCCCAGACCATTTCGCCCCTACTTTTTTCACATCGCCCTAATTTTCAGCTCATTTCGCCCCAAATATGACAACTCAACTCCATTTACCAAACTACAGAATTACCACATACTTAAGCCTGGTCTCATATATCCTGCCATATATAGAGTTATGACCTTTTTGTTTATTAGTAAAATCATAGATTGTCAGGAGAATCTTCCTTGCTATATTCACCTCTATTTACCAAACTTGCTTTTCTAATGGATCTTGACCCACAGTTTGCAGAGTTGTTGCCCTTTGTTCATTTTCTATACTTAAGTTTTTCTCTAACACAAGGCTGCCTTGCTATATCAACTACATCCACCAAGATTGCTATTGTGCACGTGTGTGCTAAAGTTTTAATTTGCACTTTTTATTTTGCAGGATAAAAACTGACACATTATATGACTGACAAGACTTTATGTAAGTATGAAATGTTGGGATATTTTGTAATGTATTATTTGTAGATAGAAAAAGTGAAAGTGTATATAATGTATGATTGTATGTGTGTCAGTAGTATAACTGTGATATTAATTATGTAACTAAGGTTAGTTTTTCTGACTGGCTACATTAGTAGAACACAGGAATTACTCACTGAACGTTTGCTAAATAACAAGTGACCCTATGGTTCACCACTGTGACTTGTATATATTCCAAGGTTGGAGTTTGAAATGTATAGGAAAAATGAACTCTGAATCCAAGGTGTTTTTCTTCATCATGTTAGGATTGGGGCCTAGCCATTACTTTGGATCCAAATAGGGTATTTTCAGTAGTATTCAAGAAGAATAAATTTTTCACAACGTACCATTTAAGAGACTAAATCACCTTGATTAATGAAAAAATTCATTTTAAATGTTGCATTTCATCTGAGTTAAGAGGTTGTAAACTTAAGAAAAAACTCGTGAAATCTTGAAAATAAAATGGGCAATAATATAACCATTTAATTTGTCAAAGGTAATATGTGGTAATATTTCAGCACCCAAAGAGCCATGAACACTGAATCATAAACCAGTCTATGGTGTGAATTACCAATTCTGTTGTTCGTGTCTACTACACGGTAGCTTTAATTCATAATTTTCTTTCGTTGATTGTATCAAAAGAAAAAGTCATGAGCTGATAGTAGTTATGTAGGTCTGGGTGTCTCAGGGAGAAGCCACAATACTTTGTCTCAGGAAATATGCTAATGCATGGGATCAGTTATACAATGGTAGAAATAATTCCTTCTACCAAATCTTAAAATTAATTTGATACATAGTAACTATAATAGTTATATCATATTTCAAAAGATAAGTCACATTTAAATGTACCAAATTCCAATATAGTTTTCCCATCGACTTGTAATTCAATTTTACACTAATTTCCATAGGTTAAACTTTGATTTCAGACAGGTGCTAATTACCCTAGCGATATACCTTTTTTCAGTTGTTTTGTTATTAAACTGTGAAGTTTTTGTGCCCTCTCTGGATACCTGAGTTGGTGTGACATTTTGACTGTTATTGTAACAGATCAAAAGACATGAGACTGCTGATAAGGAGACAGACTTGTTTGAGAAGGATTTGGAAACAGAGTGACGGTAAAGATGTGTTATTCCGTGTTAGAGATTCAACAGGTCTGCAGGAGAGAAAACAATCACTGTCAAGTTTGTCCGTGACAATACTTCATCAACAGAAACAGCATGATAATTCACCAGGAGACTGCAGCACAGTGTCAAACTCTACAACAAAGGATAGCCCAGATGGTCTTGATGGGGAAGATCAGTTCACATCAGGAAATGATGCTTTAACCAACTTGTATCAATTAATGAAACATTTTGTACAACAGAATTGTGTACCTTCTTACATTTCACAGTTTAGAAGTCAAAAGTGTGATAGTTCATCAAGTTATACAAGTTCACAGTTGGTGAAAGAAAGCTATGACAAACAGAACTTAATGCTGAATTATATGGCACCTGCAGGGTCTCAGTTTTTTGAAGGGTTAGAGACGTTACCAGAGTTTCCTGTCAGTTTGGATATGTTTCCTCAGTATAATGTGTGTGGCTCTTATCAGAACACACCTTTGTGTGGACAACTACTGAAATCACACGTACAACATCAGCTTTCTTCTTACTTTATCTCACAACGTGGAAATGGTATAAAAGTGAAAAATCCTGTACAGTCATGTCATGTAAGGCATTACAGTATCAGTAAACACAGTAACAGATGTTCCCAGTATTCTGACGACAGGACAGGCAGGCTACTGTCTGTACAGTATCTTATCAGCACACCGAGTGTTCACCATTTGTTCTCATCACTAGTTATATACAAAAATTCTTGGCACCATGGGATGAGACAAACACATATCTTGAGTTTGGAACCATTGAAGGCATGTGGTTTGATGCGACGATGGATCTCTAAGAAAGAGTACAATTTTCCTGAACTGAAAGAGGATGACCTGGTGGAGAGTTTCATGCGGGGAGGAGGAGCTGGAGGTCAAGCTGTGGCAAAGACCAATAACTGTGTAGTACTCTTGCACAAACCCACAGGCATCCAGCTCAAGGTACGTAGCCACCATATTATTGTATGACTCAACCATAGACGTCCAGATAAAGGTAGGTACCATTACGTCATGTGATTAACCCACAGGTATCCAGATAAACGTAGGTAGCCACTGGTATGTCACAATTAATATGACTACCAGGTAACCTCAGGCATTCAAATCAGGGTCATCATTGCCACTGTAATGTCACATGACTAAACCACAGCTATCCTGACCAAGGTCCTTATAGCATGGTTGTCATGTTACTAAACCACAGCTTTCCTGATCAAAGTCATTAAAGCAGGGTTGTCATGTTTCTAAACCAAAGCTAAACTGACCAAGGTCATTATAGCAAAGATGTCATGTTACTAAACCACAGCTATCCTGATCAAGGTCATTATAACATGGTTGTCATGTTACTAAACCACAGCTATCCTGACCAAGGTCATTATAACCATGGTAATGTCATGTTACTAAACAACAGCTATCCTGACCAAAGTCATTATAGCATGGTTCTCATGTTACTAAACCACAGCTATCCTGACCAAGGTCTTTATAACATGGTTCTGATGTTACTAAACCACAGCTATCCTGACCAAAGTCTTTATAACATGGTTGTCATGTTACTAAACCACAGCTATCCTGACCAAAGTCATTATAGCAAAAATGCCATGTTAATAAACCACAGCTATCCTGACCAAAGTCATTATAACATGGATGTCATGTTACTAAACCACAGCTATCCTGACCAAAGTCAGTATAGCATGGATGTCATGTTACTACACAACAGCTATCCTGACCAAAGTCAGTATAGCATGGATGTCATGTTACTAAACCACAGCTGTCCTGACCAAAGTCATTATAGCGTGGATGTCATGTTACTAAACCACAGCTATCCTTACCAAAGTCATTATGGCATGGTTGTCATGTTACTAAACCACAGCTATCCTGACCAAGGTCCTTATAGCATGGTTGTCATGTTACTAAACCACAGCTTTCCTGATCAAGGTCATTATAACCATGGTAATGTCATGTTACTAAACAACAGCTATCCTGACCAAGGTCATTATAGCACGGTTATCATGTTACTAAACCACAGCTATCCTGACCGAGGTCATTATAACCATGGTAATGTCATGTTACTAAACCACAGCTATCCTGACCAAGGTCATTATAACCATGATAATGTCATGTTACTAAACAACAGACTTCCAGATCAAGGTAGGTATCCACTGAAGTGCCTTGTGACTAAATTACAATTGTACAGGCATTCAGATTAAGTTCAGAATAGCCTTGCTCTGTAGTGTCACCACAGACATCCTGATCAGGAGAGGTAGTCAGTACATGTATAATGTCATGTGACTACCAATTCATAGGCAAGGAATGTAGCCTTTAAAAATATTAAACGTCACATGAATAAACCACAGGCATTTAGATGAAGGTCAGCTTAGGTCATATATTTTATATGTTTGTATCAAGGTCATGTTTTATGTTATAGATGTATGTATCAAGGTTGTGCATATGTACAGTATGGTTGCAGAGTCCTACCAACAGTTACTTTAAGTCGAAATGATATTCCAAATCAATTTATCATGATAATTAGGTAAGGTGATTTATCATGATAATTATCTCACTATTATGATCATTAAAAGACTTGCCATGATAGCTTTATTGTTAAGTTAACACTAAGATGTATGTATCAAGGTAATCTTCTATTTATAGGTACATGTATCAAGGTCATGTTTTATTTTATAGGTACATGTATGCAAGATCATGTTTTATTTTATAGGTACATGTATCGAGGTCCCTTGAACAGAACAGGAAGAAGGCTCGAGAGATGATGATAGAAAAACTGGATTTACATTTCAATGGAGAAAACAGCTTTGCTGAACAAAAGAAAGCAGAAAAGAAAAAAGCTAAACAGAAAATGAAAAAGAAGGCAGGACTTGTGAGAGAAAAAATGAAAGCGTTTAAAGAGGGCCTTAAAAAAGATGAAAATGGTCCTGATGAGAACTAATTTTACTGATGTCAAAATAATTGGAATTACATTAATTTGTTATTCATAAATGCATTAAATCTTACAGAGTAAACTTTCATGTTATATTTTTGTTTCATATGTAGCAAAGGAAGAGAACATTATATATTGACTGTTGCTATATTATACGTTTATACATAACTGCACATGCTTGTACATCGAAATGTTGTCTGAAACGTGTACATGTAATGGCATTAGACAATAGCTATCACATGTCTATTGTCCAGTCTTTTCCAATAAAATCATGTTTCATCTTTATTGATATCCATTAGCTCAGCGTAAGGAAAAGGCTAATTTTCTAAACGACCATTGTTTAAAATATCAATGAAATGATTAAAAGATTTTCCCCAAGATTTCTTGTGTACTTCCTGTATTGTTGAGTAAGCAATGCTAGATAATCTTAAAGGTATATATGCACTTGTAAATATGAGGAAATGGCAAGAATTAGGTATGTTTTTGCTTTGCAGTAGAATAACTTACCAAATGTTTGCAATTTAATGAAATAAGAATAGCCTATGTACTTAGGTACACAAAAGAACTTTGTAAGAAAACAGTGAATAGACCTTTAGTTCTGCTGTAGATACCCTGTAGACAGTTGAATTTTACATTACTGTGAAATCAGATATTTCTGTGGGGCCCAAATTTTGCAGTTTCCAGACAAAACACCATTTCGTGGGTACATGAATTCGTGGATTACGAATACCTACTCAAACGGAGAATTACTTTATATCAAACTTTTTATTGATTCATGGACCTATGAATTTGTGAATGAGGATTACCCATAATATCAACGAAATTAAAAACCCCACAAAAATTAGTGATTTCAGAGTTTAGCTATAAATAGCCCTGTAGATCTGGCATAAATAGAGGAATTTTACATTACTGTGAAATCAGATATTTCTGTGGGACCTAAATTTCGTGGTTTCCCGACGAAAAAGTTCCGTGGTTACATGAAAACTATAAATAGCCCTGACGACTTGCATAGAATTTTACATTACTGTGAAATCAGATATTTCTGTGGGGCCTGAATTTTGTGGTTTCCCAACAAAACAGTTCCATGGGTACATGAAAACTATAAATAGCCCTGACGACTTGCATAGAATTTTACATTACTGTGAAATCAGATATTTCTGTGGGGCCTGAATTTTGTGGTTTCCCAACAAAACAGTTCCATGGGTACATGAAAACTATAAATAGCCCTGACGACTTGCATAGAATTTTACATTACTATGAAATCAGATATTTCCATGGGGCCTAAATTTTGTTGTTTCCAGACAAAACAGTTCCGTGGGTACATGAAAACTATAAATAGCCATGACGTCTTGCATAACCAGATCAAGCATAAATAGTGGAATTTTACACGAACTATAAATAGCCCTGTAGATATACTGTAGGGATCAGAATTTTACTTAAGTATTGATAACATTAAGCTTAGCCCTGTATAATGGACTGTAGTAAATGAATTTTCTATGCACTATATATGTACTGCCCTGTAGTTCTATGAACTACAAATAGCCCTGTAGATCTAGCATAGACAGTGGAACTATATACAGATTCATGAACTTCAGATAGCCTTAAGCTTGTTGTTCTGCTGTAGATAGTGTGATCTTACATTAATATGTACTGAGACGGGATTTTCTATGAGCTATTAAAAGGGGCTGGTCGGGGAAAAAAATACAAAATTAATGGGTTTAAATGCGTTCTCTGGCCTTCCAAAAGTTATACCACGGCAATATGATAGTTGAGTTCTGCTTGCAATGTCCAGTTTTGACCACTGAAATCTCGGGGAAGCCCCGCGTAAATTTAGCGCAGATCTATTTATATATGTCACGTGGTTGTTTCGAAAGTGAGGCACTGAAGATAACAACAATAGCACGCCGTCATGTGCCATGTCGGACTCAACTAGCGGACAAGACAGCAATACTATACGTAAATAATTGTTTTCAAAGGTCATGTATGTTGCAAGTGTAGTATTCCTACCTATATGTTGTTGTTATATATAACGGTATTGATACCTCGTGCCTGTCATGACTTTTGCATGCATCTTTTTCTTTCGCCGCGATGTTTACATTTGGCCTTGTTGATGACGCGCGTGCGGTAAAATTACATCACTGATCTGGGTCAATTGAGAGTTTTAGACTGTCAGGTGACGATTTAGGATTTTTTTAATATAATTATAATTTTTACTCTTAGGGAGTGAATTTCAGCAAAATTTGAATCAGTATATTTCATAAGAAGGTATTTAAACATGTGTATGCCATTTTAGCAAATATGACATTTTTTCCCCGACCAGCCCCTTTAATATACTGAAGACTAGAATTCTACAAGAACTACCTATAAATAGTCATGTTCTACTGTAGGCAGTAACATTTTACTAAATAGTGGCTCTAAATTTGACTGCAAAACACATTACCGGTAAACAATAAATGTATTTCAACGGCAGAAATTAAAATAGGTCAAACTAAAACAAGAAGCCCAGAGAGCCTGTAACGGTCATCTAGATGTTGAAGCAGCCATGTTGAAATATTCTCATTATAAGAAATATTACAAATGTCTCATCACTTTAGGCTCCATCCCTAGACCCAAGGATGCTTCAAAGCAATTCTGTTTGAGATCTGAATGTATGTGTATATGGTTATAGGGCAGAGATATGAGCCCCTAATGGTAGGGCCATATCTCAGGGTTAATCCTGGTAGCATACTTGTGTTGTTTTCTTCATGCCAAGCAAGCATGTATATGGTTAGATGATAGGAATATCAAGACAACAATTCAAATTATGACCCAAGGACAAGAAAAAGCTTTGCAATTTATTGGTCTATAAATCTTGACCTTAGGCCTTATAAAAGAATAAAAGAGAAATTTTTCAAACTTTAACGATTATAAAGCCAATATCAACTTTTGATTCTGGCCAGAAGTCAGAGCTGACCTTTGACCTAAACACAATATATTTGGTAAAGATACAAATATACATCATCAGTCTAGAAATTCTGGGTTTTTTTGGGTTTTTTTGAAGTTTTTAACATAATTGACCCTCGTGAAAGTAAGTAGAGGATCTTTATAACACTATCCCAGGTACCAACTGGTCAAAAGGTCTTCAAACCATTCTAGCCATTGTTAAATTTGACCCAAGCAACCTCTCAAAGTTGACTTTTGACCTTAAAACGATAGATCATGCAGAAAAAGATTGCTCTGTCGGTCGTCATACCATAACCAAATTATTATTGCTCTTTTATTTAGACCTTTCGGTTGCTTAAACAATTTTGATTGAAAATTTTAACATATTTGACCCCTGTAATATTGAAAGTACCAGTAGGTCAAAACATTTAAAGGACTTGCACAACTAAATCATTTACTATATGTTATTACAAAGCTTTTGAGCTAATAGTGTTAATATTTGAAGTTCAACACTGGTGACAACTGTCTAGATTCACAGATACCTACCCGACAAAGGCTTCAAAATGCACTTTTTTGTGAGTTTATAGTGGCTTAATATAGGAGCGCTAGAGGCATCTGCTTTTGACAACTGGAAGTTTACAAGCCAAACCGGTGAAGTGTGACGGGGAAACCCTTTGACATTTGACCCCATATCAATTCGCCATCTCATATTAAAATCTACTAAAACTATACATTTTCTAAAATTTCAATATTTGTAGATTTCATTCAATGTAAAATATGTCAACAATTACCTATTTGAATTACTCGGAGGTACTGTATTAAACTGGAACAAATTTTAGGTAGGGATTACCGTACAATCGTATGAAACACTTACTGATTGTTTGATTTAGTTGTGTGAGACCTTATATGAGGAACTTTATTAAGCACTGCCTCCAAGGTATTGTACCTACTAGCCAAATATCAGGACCCATGGCCTTTCAGTTTTCAAGAAGTCCTTCGAAGAAAAAGTTAATAAACAGATGACAAACAGACACTGCAACATACCATAAGTTCACAGGCACTCTCTCATACTTATTTCCTTGTGACAAGGGGAGACTACTGGAGCTACAATGTAATGTGTTTGCAGGCTGAGTGCTGACTTGGGAACTGTTGTCAACATCACCTATAGCTCAAGTGCCTAGTCTGGTGATCACCTATAGCTCCAGTGCCTTGTCTGGTGTTTAATTGACACATGGAATTAGACTTTGTGCTGATATAGAGTTCTTCCCAGGACGATTGATTAGCAAGTTTGACACAAGTACTTGTGAGGAGATTGACTGTTAGAGACGGATTGATGCAACCAACTTGTTTCAATAATCTACCTAAACAATGCAGGACAGCGAGGGGTTCAAGGTCGGAAAGGACATGTGAGTATAAATTACAGGGTTTAGTTCACAATATGAAACTTTACAAACGGACAATTACTTTTTACCTAGAGTCAAAGTTTCCTGGCATTTGCTGAATGTCACCACTTACGTTTTAAAAATGAGTGTGAGAAGGTGTTCACCTATTAATGCTAGTCTAAATGTACATGTAGGCTTTGAAGCTGCCAGACTGACATTCTCAAAAGGAGAGCCCTGTACCCATACTTAATTAATAAGCTGAGGTAAGATTAGGTCCATGTTACAGAACAGATGGGTAAAATTGTTAATTCCTTCCTATTGCTCTGGATATCACATTCTTTACTCCTATAGAAATGTTATAAAACTGAGATTGTCCTTAGTCAATTGTCATTGATTTGAACTTGGGAGTTTTCAAGTAAATCAGCATGCACCAAAAGAAAACGTAACAATGTTTTCCCCATTATTGCTTATGTGATGTAATAGGTGTGTAATATGTATGAGGGGGGACCCTCAACCACTGAACTTAACACTTAATGTTGGTTCACTGTATTGTGTGTATGTCTAAGGGTTGTACGTACCATATTGCTGGAAAAGCTACCCGGTGACAGTGTTGAGACCCTGGGGTCTCTTGTAGGTGAATTTGAGGACCCACAAGATTCCCAAGGCCAATATCGGGGATGAAATTTGGGGTGAAATTACATAATTGATCACTCATTTAAACCTTCTCAGAAATAAGCATTTGATGTTACAATGAAATAAAAACATAAAATTATAAAGATATATTAACTAATCAAAGGTGTATTTTCTAAATCTATAGATGCAAATTTATTACATTTACAAGAGATAATGCATGTCGACACCGTTATGTGTACAAAAAACAAGAGGCCAAGAGGGCCTGTATCGCTCACTGAATATGTTTAAAATAATTGGTATGAAGTAGGTGCTGTAAGTACATATGAAATTTCAGAAAGATCCATCCAG